TTTTTTTTTCTGCTTATGTGGTGCTGAGGAATCGAACCCAGGGCCTCATGCATGCAAGGCAAGCCCTCTACCACTGAGCCACCTTCCCAGCCCCTATATTTTTTAATTGCCAATAGAAATATCATGAAGTCCATAGCATTTAGAGTGTTCATTAATTAACTTCTTAAACCTTTTCTCTCTTCCTTTATTAGGTACTTACTTTATAATATTGTTTTCAGTGGAGAACACAGACATATAATAAGACATTTTGTTAGAACATTTGATTAAAATTAATTTTTTACTCTATAACAATCATCAATGGCATACATAACCCCAAAACATGGCATCATTTGCAAGGTCTTGTCCACATATATGTCTCCTATTAGGATGATAAATTCCATGGGTTAAGCTCATGTAATACTCCTATCTGTTTCCACCAGGAATTCCTAGAGTGCCTGACACATAGTATATATCACACACACACACACACACACACACACACACACACACACACATACACATTTTGGTCGTGGGCTTTAACTCTAGGGATGGGCTCTGTCCCTCAACTCTTCAGCTCAAGGCTAGCGCCCTACCACTTGAGCCACAGTACCACTTCCAACTTTTTTCTGCTTATGTGGTGCAGAGGAATTGAACCCAGGACCTCATGCATGCAAGCCAAGCACTGTACCACTAAGTCAACTTCCCAGCCTCAGTCTATAGTTTTTGAAAGAAAAAAGAACAAGAGGATACAGAACACCGTCACTGTAAAACTTGGTGACTGATTTCTGGCTATGGTCTGGTTTATCCCATTCAATCTGATGCTACTGCAGGACTGAGTTTCTCCAAGAAGTCTAAGGTATCAGAGAGCAGATGGTACTTCCCTTGACCTTGATCCTGTCCTTGACTGTGTCTGTACTGCACCTGAGCACTCTTGGCCTACCATCTGCCTGCCCCAGTTAATACCTTTAGTTAAGGAGCTAGGCCTGGGAAGCTTGTTGAGTCAGATAGAATCAAATGATAGCAGAGGGGGCACAGAACCTGTATGCCATGAGTTACTTGAGTTTCTGCCAGTCATGGGCACAATTCAATTTAAAGATAAGTATGGGCTAGATGGTCTCATTTCCAATTCCTTGATTCATAAGCAATGTGTTAAAGGAGAAGTAGCTTAGGGGTTTTGTGGGTAGGTTTGTCCATAATCCTTTTCTGGTTTCCTCTACAAGTTCTAGAATGCCCAGCTACGAACTCCATATTTTCAATTAAATATTATCTCCTCATTTCTCAAGGAATCATAAAGTTCTCCCTTTTTTTGACATTTGTTCCTGATGCCTGGTTAAATATTGAGAAATATGGAAGTGGGCAAGCATCAGTGCCTGTTGATCTAGTTTATATGAATTCGTCAAATTTATAACTCACTTCCTCAAATGTATTCATCACTGTGCAAGCAGTAGCTGTGCACAAAGCTCAATGCACCAAGAGATCT